AGAATAATAGATAAACACTATGATCTGTGGTAGAACGTTTAACGTATGTAAAAATAAAGTGTATATTTATATTATATTATGATAATATGTAGACATAAAATTCATRACGCGTGAGATCGATTACAACCGTTTTTAACCATTTAACGCGTACGGAAAGTCTTCTATCATAGATATAGAATAAGTAAACGAAGTTGCGGACGATTTGCAATTATAATTCAACGGATAACGGAAAATAAAGGTCACRTTATAAATGTTTAATATTTTTTACGTCAGAAGTACAATGATATTGTAATGGCAATATATTCATTGTATAATACAATTGTGACGTGGAAACGACCGATATCAACGGCGGCAGGGCAATATACAGACCGAAAAGTTCCAAACAAAATAAAAAAACAAAAATAGATTAATAAATAGTTTTACTGTTGACGACTTTACCTCTGACTGTTCGTATATCAATTATATAACTTGACTGCACTACGTTATTACTCCATATTAACCCATATATAGAATAATATGARAAGGCGAGAACGAGTGACCCCGTAAGCACTTCCACCCTCATCAATATCCGTCGTAAMATAATATAATTTAAAATTATACACGCCAAATTTAAATATAGTTTGTCATTKATGTATAATATATCAAATGATAAAATACTTCAAAAGTATCTATTAAAACACAGTGTAGTATAATATATATGTGTACAATATACATAAACATACGATCGCATCGTGATCCCTTAATTTTCTGTTCCACCTAAACTCATCAAAATTAGAAGGGTTAGTACTTTAACTAAGGGTAGTATTTTACTATAKTAAAATTATCCTATACAATGGCTAAAAGAAACCTACACAGTATTTGCAGCGTCTGCAGAGCCCCCACAAGGGGGTTGCTCGACCAGGAGTATAGGGGTCTGGATATTTTAGAGGCCCATTGAAATTGATTTGTAATTTTTAAATTGTAATAAATAGTAAAATTAAATAATAATTTAAAGCGCTCACAAAATTATTTAGTACAGAAGCCCAAAAATCTAATCTGGGAGGGAGGCTAAGTGTTTCTAAAAAAAAGTCTAAATTCGCATTCAATATACATAGATATAAAATTCAGCTTATTCATAAAAACAAACTAYGGAAATATACCAAGTAGTATAACACACTTTAAATCATCACGGGTACCATTAACTGAGGCAATTAGTATTGTAAATAATGCAAAAACTTATATTTTAAATAATACAAATACAAGTAATCAAGGTAAAGCAATAAAGAAAATAATTGAAATCGTTTTAGAAAAAAGTGTTGGTTATACTGCAATGGAAACAATTGCTAACATTTTAGAAAGCAAGGAAACTTTTCGTACAAATCATCAGAAGAATTAAATTCAAACGATATTTTTCACACGAAATTTGCTCCTATATTACATCCGTGGACGTCAAAAGGAACTTTTCCACGTATAAAAATATTCTTTCGAACCTTTGATATTTGAACATATTAAATTTAGTAAGTACAATAGGCTTACTTAGAATKTTAATAATTTACATACATTTTAATATATATTTTAGTATGTTTAGRATGAATAATATTTCCCCAAAAACGGTCAAAACACATGTATCAACATCATAGAGCAGTCAATATTTGAAATTTTCAGTTTTTTTAATAAAATAATAAATTAATAAGTAATAATTATATCTCATTTATCAATTACAATTTGTGTAAAAAAATAAAAATATATGGCATTTTTAAGGTCATTTTTGAGATAAATGCATTTTTAGTCATGTTTTAGAGCATATTTGTATGATTTTAAGTGCATTTAAATTCGGGCCCTAATTATTATAAGTATAGTTTATATTATTATTTATTATATTATTATTTAAACTATAATTATAGTTATTTAACAGTATTATTATTTGGATTAGGACAAACAATTATTTAAAATCATCATTAGACATTAGCATAATGATATTATACTTTGTAATTTACATTAATTTACGATTCAATCATAGTATTAAACCCTTAATAACTTAAATTACAATTCGGGTGGATATTTGAAAATGATAAACGRTAATTACGAATTTTATAGGAACATTTAAAATATAAAATAATTTATACTTTAWTTCCTAAGTACCTACACTATATCSATAAGTAGTCTAGCTTATAATTTAAGAAACATTGTACTTACATCATACTGTGAATAATACCTTCGATAAATACRAGTATCGTACAAACCAGCTCGCTCATGAACAGTGTTCGAATCAMGTCGAATACTTCTTAAAAATAGGGCAGGATAGAATTGTYTCTCGATTCACTGTTAATTCGTCAAGTGAATAAATAAATTAAATCACGTAATATATAGACATATGCATATATATATGTAACCGTGATATCGAAAACTATACAGTAAATACAC